AAAAGACTAGGTGATAATATTTAAATGAGAATAATATTTCCTTCTTACCTAAATCATTTAAATTACTGCGTAATTTTCTTTCGCGTAAAATACTCCCATTATTTGAACCGGTACGCTAATTGCATGATTTACATGAATAATAGTCGTTAGGGTATCTTTGATGAAACTTCGACACGAAAGAGCGATCCTATTTACGCCTAAGGGGGCAAACTCACCGGAACCATTGTTTCGTGATCACGCCACGTGCGTGAAAAAGCATTGGAACGCATATACGCGTGTCTTCGCGACATGTTCTGCCGCAGGAAATTCCAGGAAGTTTCGAGTCGACACGTAAAAAGGCTCGCGTGATATCGGCAAATGCAACGTTGCGTTCTGCGACGGTCCTCCTCTCGTGCGGATAACCGATCGCCGACGATCCGCATCGCCGCTTTATCAAGTTTCCAATTTCACCTGTTCGTTACACGTAACGAGCGATTACTTCTCCCGGTTAACTCCGCAACAACATCTCTCATCGATATCTCAGGTAAATTTGCTCTTAATTTGTCGATGGCTTTCGCGAAGCGAAGCTTGATAACGCGGTCCTTGCTTCATTAATGAACGATATTAGCTTGCAACATTACTATCTAACGATGTATAATTGATTGTACATTTACTTCAGCTGGCAAAACATTTTACAGCTGGCAAAATATTTTTCATTAAAAATATCATGAATTTATCTCTTTTTCTTCCTCATTCGCGTTCGTTATCATAAAGCAATTTATATACGACACGATTTCTATTTTTATATCATTTCAGCGTAATTCTTGAAACAAGTTCTACAACGTAATTAAAATTACATCGGTTCTATGATATATTTTTAATAGCTTTAATCCTTTTTGATAAATTCTTATATTGCTTTTTGCTGAAACTAATTCATAGGGATGCTGAGAATGATGCCTTTCTTGGAACGAGAATAATTTCGCTCGTGTACGATTAATCTTAACCATAGCTTTGTATTCGGGAACGCATTTCAGGTCTCGCGTGACTCAGGCCAGGGATTGAGCAGGAAAAAAGATGCATCGATCAATCAAGCTTTAATACCTCGTGATCGAGTGCTACCGGCTCCGATGGGATCTCAGAATGAGAGAAGATGAGACGCACAAGAACGTGGGATATCGATCGCAGGAGGATGAACCGCGTAGTTAACCTTCGTCGCTACACGATGGTCATTAGGGTAGCTCTCTCACCGCGCGTCTTCATTCTTTTTGCGGCATTCCCCCCCCGTGGGGGTTTGCTTGTACCCCGACGAGAGAGAAAGGGAAAATTGAGAGCGCCCGCTCTCGGATACTATCAGACAACTTCGACCTTGAAAACGTCTCGAGAATGCGAAGACGATTAACTCGTCTGCCGACAAACTGTTGCTTCCAATTTTAGCCAGGTTAATTTTCACGGAATATCAACAAGCTATATTATCTCGAGAGCGTCATAACTTGTTACACAATCGAAAAAATTAGCAATTATATAACAGAAGTGTTACTTAATCCTATTATATACATATATATATATATATATATATATATATATTGGGGTTCCGGGAATCCCATCCATATTTTATTATCGTAACTCCAACAAAAATAGACATATTTTAATTAAATTTTTTTTTTAGTCAATAAAAAATCCATAAAGAAACAGATTTAAAAATTGAGAATTAAAGAGCTTCGAAATACGTAATGGGTTAAAAAATATTTTAAAAATATTTTAAAATTTGTCTTACTTAGGTATATCATCAATTTTAACAATTCACTAATCTATTTGTTGATGTAAGTAACTAATTATAATTTTCGTTTTCACTATCAGTAGTTAGTTTAACTTTAATTTTGTTACTTGATTCTTGCTATTTTTCCTCTCCATTAACGTACACATTCAAAAATAAAAATTAAATAAAAATTCATTTTTTTTTTAGAAACATAATTAAATATTTTACACGAAAAATAAATTTGAAGATAATAAGATACGAGATCTGTCTGTGAGCAAATAATCAGATGACAGTTATCAAAAAGCGCAAAACGTTGAGATGCAGAGACTGTAAATTTCTCTTTTTCTTTTCATCGTCCGAAATAAAATACTGTGATCCGAAAAAGTGTCATAATGTAGCCGACGTTCAACGTCATAAAAATACACGGAAACGATATTTAGAGGGACTTGGCACGGACTTGATGTAATATATTGTCAAGTCGACGCACGTCCTCTGCTGTCTGACCCCTCCCTGAACATGAGTAGTAGTAGTGGTAGACGATGTAGGAGGTCATCATCGTCTAGTAGCTTGCCAACCTAAACCCTCCGTTGCCCTTTTCCGCCTGGGCTCTTATGAGAAGAGCTTTAATATCTCAGTCATGTTCTTGGTTCACGGACTATTAATTATCCCTACCTAGATGCTCGCTGAACTCATCCCGTGGGTCAGGTCGCTGGATTTGTTGCGAGGATTAGCTTCGATGACACGTGAAAAGCACGTGAAAGAAAGAGAGAGATGATTTTTATTTATATCGATTAGCGTTAATTGTGAGAAATTCAAAGAACGCGTAATAAAACGACGAGGTACAATGAGAAATTGGGTTGAAATGAATGGAATTGATTTCACTCTTTATAAAAGTGAAAACAGTACTTCCGAGTTTCATACTGACTACGTCAAAATCAACGATCGTAGTTCTAAGGCTGGATATTTCGAGCTGATCTTTTCTTAAATGCCAAGATATCAATAGCTTTCAATTTATGCGACTTGCATTAACAGTCGCAATAACAGTTTTGTACTTAAATAATTCGTAATCTAAAGTTCACCGGGTTTAGTTTCAAACATTCCAACTTTTACTTAGTACCGTATTTACAGAACTTACACACCGCCTCTTTCGATCGATGCATCGTTAAAGCGATATATAGCGACCATTGACAGACGTGGAGTCATGGCCGAGTCCACGTCTATCTTGAACTATGTTTCCATTGTTATTGATAAAGAAAGTACATACAAGTTTTTATACTTTCAAGAATAACTTTCTACCCGACAAACTTTGACTGATGAATAATTGAAAAACGGAACTTCGCGAGAAGGATTTGCCAATTATGATAATCATACAAAGAGTTCTCGTAATATTCTGGAAGAGAACAAACTTTCCAAGAACATGTATACAAATCTGCGATTTAATGCTACACGCACATTTAACGTTGTAAACATTATGTTAATTATGCGATCCTCTTAGTGTTATCACTTTCACCTGTTTACTCTTAAAAATAAGCAGCCGGTCTATTATGTAGAAATTAGGAGAAGCACATAATAGAAATGAACGATACCGAAAGTTTTGGCGGGCGGCCTTCGGTGAGGTCAAGCGAGGCACAACGCGCACGGTTGGCAGGGTCATCGACACGTGCCGATCAGTGGCGTCGGTGTTAGTAAATGTTTCTACCGGTTTATATTTATACAAGCCGAAGAGCGACGGTTTCGGGTCACCGCCTCGTTGTCGGCATTGCCGCGCGAATGATGACTCGATTACTCAGGCCGAGCCTCGTCTCTATCGCGATAATCCGGCGGAAGTCGGAGGAACGGCTCGCAGCTGGCGCCCGGAAACGCACGTAGATACACGTCATGCGCGCGCGCGCGCGCGCGCGCAACGCTTGGCTGTGGATACGCACGCTCGAGCCTGTCCTGTCCACCTCTTTTCTTTTTTCTTTTTTTCTTTTTTTTTTTCAGGCGCATCCGCCTGTCTGCCCTCCCCGCATACGACGAGAAACGAGAATGGCGAGTATATACGCTTGACGTAGTCACGCGAGAGCAGTCAGACAAAGAAAGTCCGACGGCTAGAACCAGCGAGAAAGCGTCGAATGCAGCTGCCACAACGGTCGGGCATTCACTTCCCCGATGCCGGACGATAGTCTCGTTTCCTTCGAGGATCTACTGGCCGGCTGAACGTTTTGTCGCGGGGACACGCGAACAAGTAAATTACGTATGGGCAAAAACGCTTGTTTCTCGCAAATATTCGAGGAACTCGGAACAAAAGATAAAACGCTTCTCGAAGCGTGGCAATTCGTGTTAATCGTGATATTGGATCGAAATGTTATATTGGCACGTTTCAGATCATTTCTGTGTCGAGGTTATTGACGAGGCAACTCTGATCGAGCAAAAGAAAGATACGATAAACGTCACGGATTACGGTGGATAATTCATGTCGACAGGGAAAGCGAATCTAGGGTTTAGATTATTGGCATAACGTAGTCATGACATCGTCACGCTGCCGTTCAATGCATTATAATGCGCGTACTCAAAATCGCTCGTGCATGTGGCAGCGCTATTAATGGCGCACGTAGTCGAGCGGAAAAGTAGTCGTGGTAAATAAACTTTTTATCGTCGTTACATATCGCGTTGCAACCGTCAATTCACTGAGGTGATTATAGAAGACGTAATGCAACGTCAAATCTATTAAAGCGCCGTTTATCGAGACGCGAATCTACTTTGAATCTATAGAAATTTGCGCGGATATATATATATCGATGCCTGTTCTCAAGCATTTTTACAAATATACTTTTATATTTTTATTTCGATGTAAAAACAGATTAAAATTAATGGAGAGAAATTTGTTTCTACAAAGTAGAATGTATCATCTAATCAAACTATCAAACTATCTAATCATCTATCAACTATTTGTTGATATTGAATTTATTACTTATTGATTCCTTTTTAAATTTCTCTTCCAACTACTAAAGTTCGGTTTTCCTTGGTGATATAATTAAATATTGTATAATATTTTACTTACAAGAAATCCGTTTTATTACTTCTTATTTTTCTTTTACTATTCCTTATAATTTAAGGGAACACAATTTTATAGAAAAAGATCTCTGCCAATTCTTTGTGATTTCTTTTAACTTATACTTTATAAAAAACATTGATTGATGAAAATTTGCAACGTAGACACGTAGATTCGTAGAAATGTCTCATTGAAAATTGAAAGATAATAAAAGAAAGAAACACGACTCACCGCAGCATTCTTTCGTGGCGCTCTCTTTCAAGCAGCTCCTCCGGACTGGATGGTTGTGGGCCTAAGAGTGTGTGGGAGAGCGGCGGGTAGGCGGTCCTGGACTGCCTCCAGAGCATCTCGGCAGCATGGTGACTCGGAGGAGCTGGACTGTGGTAGCCGACCGGCGGCGCCGTGGCTGCGGTACTAGCGCCGGCGTTGGGCGCACCCTGGGACGGATGCGCCATCAATAGGGACGTGTGCTGCACGCTCTGCACGTGCCGAGGATGTTGTCTCCTCGACGCTAAGCGCCGAGCTCCTGCTGCCGCTCCTCTCGTCGCCAGAACTGGCGCTCTTCAACGAGCTTACCCCGCTGTCGGAGCCGCTGTCGCCGTAAGTAGCGACACCGGCGGCGCCGCTGCTGCCTCCCGACGACCGTATTCCACCGACCGCCGTAGGCACACCGACGAGTACGCCCGTTCCAGGTATACCGGCCCCGGCCTCCACTTCCATGAGGCCGGCCTCATCGCCACCCCTCGATGTGTGAGACTGCTGTTGCACCTCGAGGAGGCTCGACGGGGTCAGGCGAGCGGTGGAATGGTGATGATGTTGGTGCGGGCTGCTCGCTAACTGATAATGATGATGTTGCGACGGCGGCTGTTGTTGCTGCTGCTGCTGCTGTTGCTGCTGCTGCTGTTGCTGTTGCTGCTGGTGATGGTGATGGATCACCGGACTATTGGCAGAATAACGCTGCTGGTGATGCTGTTGATGATGATGATGGAACTGTTGTTGCTGATGATGCGATGGTGGCTGATGGTAAGATTGTATATGAGGATGATGATGATGACCGGCGATCGGCGGTGGCGGCTTGTTCAGTCTCTCGGCAAGGATGATCGGGCTCTCGTTGTGCCGATTGCGCTCCTGCTCCCGCTGCTGTTCCAGGAGCAGGCTGCTCTGCCTGCCGGGGCCGCCGCCGCCGCTGCTACTAAACGGACTCAGCCTCTCCAGCACGGAGCCTGAGTCCTGACTGCTCGACTCCAGCAGCTCGACGACCGATTCGACGCTGGCCGCCCTAACGCCGCCGACGCTACCCACGCTATCCTCCGTGCCTAACTCGGTGGTAGTCAGCTCTGTGCGTCGTGATCGCTGCGAGCTTACCTCTTCTTCACTGGCGTTTTCGTCGCGATCGTCCTCTGCCGCCGCCGCCGCCGCCGCTACGTCCTCTCTGATTTCTTCCGCAAAACCTTTTGTCTTTGATCGAGTCGACTTCAGCACAGACGGACTGCCCTCGCGGATGGCATTCGTCTTATCGCTGACCAGCGGCGAATCGACATGCAATCCATTCACGAGTAACTGCGGTGGCTGTTGCTGTTGCTGTTGCTGTTGCTGTTGCTGTCGTTGTTGTTCCTTATTCTCGCCGACCTTATCTGCGTCCCAATCGGTCGCGCGAGCGCCCTTTCTTGATTCTGATTTGTTATCTGGTTGTTGCTCCTCCTTGGAAGCCGGATCGCCTCCGGGATCGACTTTGTCCGGAGGTGGTGGCTCGGGTTCTCTATCCCTCTCCCTGGACTGACTCTCCTCGTCCTCTTCAAGTTTACCGACCTCTCGTTCAGCCCCGTCGTGTTTTTCCGCCCCCGCTTCCTCCTCAACGTCGTCCTCGTCGTCGTCTTCCTCCTCGTCCTCTCCCTCTGCTTCCACCACCGATCCTCTAGTCCGATCCGCTGCAGCTTCCTCGGTGTTTTTGCTCTTACTACTCTCCGATCTGAGCTTTCTGCCGACGGGGCTTGTTCTTAGCCGCTTAGTCAGTGGATCGCAGCGTTCCTGACTCTCTTCATACCGAGGCGTTCGTCCTTGTCGGCTCTCGCTCCGGTACGATGATGATGCTCGACAGACTCTCCCTCTGCGTCTGTCTTGACTTCTTGGCCACCTCCTGGCCTCGGTCTTCTTCGTGCCGGTCTCTGATGCTGTGCCGGCCCCTGGTCGGTGGTCGGACTCTTTACCGCGGCGCCACGTCTTCGTAGTTTCGAAGCACTTCCCGATGCACTGTTTGCTTCTTCTAACACCGGCCGCGCAACACGATTGCTTATCTTGCTAGACGGCGGACTTTTATTTTCGCGATCCTCTTGTTGCCGTGTGGATTCCGCCGAATCTTTTTCGTTTTTCTCGCGACTGGCACCTTCGCTCACGCGTCGGCGTCGATTGTTACGGGCATTGTTCTTCTCTGAAACAAAGAAAGAGCGATGGTAAATGTATGATGCATGAAATACATATTGGAAAGTGAAATTGATACTGTAGCTCTGCTAACTTGGAATCGAGTGCAGTTAATTTTAACGTTACAATACGTTTAAATTAACTGTACCTATTTTCTGTATCTATGTCATAGGACTATAATGTGCGAGAAAAGATAGCAAATCGTTAACTAGGTCTTAGAGTTAACAACTTTAGTATATGTTCCAATTTCATTGATATTACGATATTATACAGTACTATACGAGGAATATGTAATCATGTATTTTATTGTAAATTAGTACTTTATAGCACTGTATATGATTTCATGTAGCTGTACATAACTGACGAGAAATGTCTTTTAACTTAAAGTTTTTAAGAGATGATAACGTTAAAGTTTTCCCATAATGCAACAAACTCTTATAAAAACCGACATCAATTCAGAACTTCAATCATAGTTCTCTTTTTTTTATCTGCATTCCAGAATCTTTGGATGACATGCCGGTAAGTGCACGTCTAATAATATCGCGCGACGGAAACTGATTATATGTAAAGAACATCACAAGCTAGCAACCCACAAGCTAGTCGCACAGCCGTTAATTATTAAAATTATCGACGGTACGACGGAAGATTATCGCGCGCTCGATATGCTTGTATACGAAGGTTATCTCGATACCCTTGATCGGACTGCATAATTGTGGCGGGTAACCGATCGATCCCTACAGCTGTCCGGTACATCGACTGTTCACCGTCCAGAGAGATTATGGAGCTGATTTACCGAGGTAATCCCTTTGATGTGCACAGTCAGTGATTCGCATAACTCGGTAACCCTAGGACGCTATATAAAGCAATCTCCCTACCAACTCCCTTCTTCCACCCTCACTTGATTGATTCGCACAGTTCAATATATTAATTATCATATATTCTCCTAGAAGGGAATATTATTTACATTTCAAATTTCACGGAATTGCAAGTTACAAAGAAACTTTTGACATTGAATGACGCAAGTCAGTCTTTGACGTATTATTACTATCATTCAAATGGAAAAATGAACTGACGTGTGAGATTGAAAAAAAAAAAGAAAGACGATGCTACAAACAACTTAAATATTCTTCAAAGTTGACATACGATTCAAAAAAATTCTTATTCATAATAATTAATGACACTTCACGGATTATTTTCGAAATCAAGTAAGTACTACTTTGAATTCTGATACTAAAGTATAAATCACGATAACAAATGTAATACCATTATCCTCTGCTCAATTGGCCGCCATCCAAACGGCCGAAACGCTGATAGCATCGGTAATAATGGCTATAATAACTGGGTATTACCTAAAGGATTATTATTGGTTCAATATTAAATCTTCTTAATTTATTAGACTAACTAAATCGTTGCTTGTGCAATCGTATGTCGTTCCTAGTGTTCCTCGATGCGATACTCGACAATACGGCAGACATTATCAATCGCAGTTATAAATCTTGTCTACTGACCTCGATAGAGAGCGTACTTTATATGTGAATCAACAACGACGAATCATTTCAACCGAGGAATTGTGCAGTAGTAGGTACGTTGCACGTTCAACTGGGTTTCCGGTTTCCGTCGCGTTAGTGCGAGTTCAAGGGAGTTCAAGGGGGTCTTCGATTAACCCGGTAGGTACATGGCCGTAGCATGGGAGCAATTTACAACAATGCACGTCATACACGTATATCCCATCCCGAAGAGAAGCGAGCGGATAGAAATTGCATGCCCTTCTCTTCGCGCGTGTGCGTACGTGCACGCTCGCGTGAAGGAGAAACTGGTTGGGAAAACGAACAGAGAGAGGGATGAACAGGTGAAGGGGAGGAGGCCACGCACAAGCATCCATACGCACAGGCATGTACACCCACTGCGCGAGCCCGAGCAGATAGAAGGACAAAGGGGAGGGAGGGGGGAGGGTAGGGAAGGAAGACACGGCGCGGCGGAGGGATTTATTACTCGGGATTTACTGTTATTACCCGGAGGGGGAGGACCTCTCCACAACGGGCAATAGCGATGCCTCCGGCGTGGGGTGTGTTTATCCGATATGTGCAGTTCGTGCATGCACACATATACTTGTACGTGTGTATACGGAGATATATATGGATACGAGGCGCATCGTTGGGACGAGCCGACATCCGTGCATCCCGTCTCCTAGCGATCTGCGGTTTGTCGTTCTACCGTTGCACGCATGCATTACGTTGCGCGTAATTGAACGGTGATCCTGTACTTTGTTTCGCACTGTCGTTACTCACACGCGTGACGTCGTTCATACAGCCGTCACTTTCGGACCGAGACGTGATTATCGGATGTCTATATCGATACATGACAAGAAAATGACTTTTCATTGTTGGTAGGTATTACGTAGCTATCAATGAGACCAAAGTACGAGTCTCATAATAAACTACAAAAGATGATAATAATAATAATTCATATGAATGACATGGAAAAGAATGCGTTGCGCAAAAAATTAAGAATTTACGATTTTCTAAATACGTTTTCTCCATGATTAGATAACTGATATTTTTGTAAAAGCGTCTTTAGTTAGCAAGTTATTTATTAAAAATATTATTTTCTTGGAAAAATTTGCGTTTCTAAGGAAATCTTTTTAATGATTCACTACGATGAACGATGGAAAGTGGGATAACCTTGTAAAATAAAATTTTAATGAAAAGTAAAAGGACCTCTCCAAAAAGTTTGTGAATATCCTAATATTAATATTGAAAAAGGTCGAAGATTCCGTGGCTTCGATGAGATTCTTGTCGAAGTGAAAAGTACTTAAAAAAATATAAGTCGGAGGATTTTATTCAGCCCAGGGTATGAATTTTTATTTATACGGTACTTTCATCTCTCGGCCAAAAGTCCGCTTTTATCTTTTTTTCGTAATACAAATATTTACGTAATGGATCCGCATTTCATATTTAAGTATGATAACGTTAGAGAGCGGCAAAAATATCATGTTATCTTATAATTCTCAGAGGATGCGATAACCAGGTTATTAACATGCAATTATCTTCATAAAAATATTGCGAGATTATATTATATGAGATGAATGATATTGTTTACGTGTTCTTATGACAGATTAGATATTTATATCTAACAAGAAAATACTTTAGTATTCGTAGTAAATATAAAATATAATATTAGTTATTGAATTGTTATCCCATAGCGCGTTGCATTATGTAAGACCTATACGTGCGGTTTATTTGCATGTAAATTCTTATCGTCGTGTGTACAGAGCATGACAAATTGCTTTTGAATCCTCTGAAATAAGTACGCTAAAATAAAACGAGTACGCTACCACAAGTTCACTGACATAAAACCAAAAGATTTATAACAGTAACGTCATTAAGTAGTTTCACCAAGGTTAACTTTAATCTGATGAGTTAAACTTTAAGAATTAAAAAAAGATAAAGAATAAATTAAACAGAGTTAATTTTACATTTGGTAAAACCGAGCTAAGAGAAAACAAAATGATAAAAATGAAATTAAACAAATAATTTTACATTTAATTAATTCCTTCCAAGATATTCTGACATGTTATTTTACGGTTCAATATGATAATCATTTTACATCTAAATACTCGTCATCATTAAGAAATCGCATCAATCCACACATCAATTATTTTTTTGCAAGACAATCTCCAATCTCCACGATAGAAAATTGTTTTCATGACCTTGCATCTCGCTTGGCAGCGCGGAAAGTGAAGAGACTTTAAAAGCGCATGACCCTTCAAAAGGGGCTAGGTCGTGAAAAACAATTCCTACGCCAACGCTCTTTGTCACGAGGAGCAACGGTGCATCCCTAGTTTGAGATATCATCGGCTTGCCCCGGAGTTGCAGGGGTGCGGGGAATTAGATATGCTTGGGCGGTCTCGCCAGGCATTTAAACCCTTTGTCAAAATCAACGCTCCATGCAGACAAGCGGGCAAGCAGGTAGCCCTTCAAAATCTCTCTCTCTCTCTCTCTCTCTCTCTTCCCTCTCCCTCTCTGTCTCCCTGTGGTTAACAAAACATCACCCTCCTACCTTCGACTCTTACCGCCCATTCCCTCGTACGTCTACTATCGACCACGTCATGCTGAATCCGCATTCTGCACGCGCCATTAGTTTCAACGCGAGTATCAGTCACTGCCATCCGCTCGCTCTATTACTTCTCTTGAAACTTTACATACAAAAGTTCGAGAGAGAAAGAAAAAGAGAGAAAATGGAAATTGAGAAAGTCAGATTAACGATTAATAATTTCAAGTAATTGGTTATTATTTATATTGTATCCACTTTGCAAATTAAATTTTATAAATATAAATGCCAACATTCCATTCATTTAATTTTGAATTTGCTCTAATGTTAGATAAAGAACAGGAAACCTAAAATACTTATTGTGTATTATTCAACTTGGAAACATTTGTGATGTTAGAGACAGTTAATAAAAACAAAGCATGTATTCGTGTTGCAGTACCTGTCAATTAAGTATTTAATTCGATAAGTATTTAATTCACTCCATTATTCATATTGTTCTTTCATTCGTAATACGTTCTCACTAAGTTGGTTCATTTTAATTTATTCACTAACGATTCGTCAAATTTTCTATACGGTACAAATCCCGGATGTTAAGCGCTTAACGTTCCGCGTTTCATTCAAGTAATAACGCGCACGAGTTTTATATGAATAATAGATTTAGAATTAGATAGTCGCATTAAGCACTAAATGCGCAGCATAAATATAGAGGTTTTATGTACATATATGTTAATACACGTAACAGGATCGCTGCGTAAATGTAAAAATTGCCGTTCACCTCACGGATGGAATATATTACAAAATGTTACGACATTCGTTTTATAACATTGATTTTAAAACTTGGATGGAGATTTCCGTTTATAAGAGTACAAACGGAAGCCGTAAAGGTGTGGCAATAAAACATCGCATTGAAATTAATACGGCAACTGATTAAATGCATGTAATGCGGTGCTTTAAATGCAA